ACCGCGTCTGCGCCTGGACTTCCGCTCCTCGCGGGCCAGGCGCCGACAATAGTGCAACTCCACTTCCTTTCGACGTCGCCGCCAACGTGATCACCGAGCCCGAGCGAAATCATCACGGACGAAACTGAACGTGAAACCCCTGGGATAACAGCCTGCCCCCCCAGACTCGGCACGCCTCCGACGCCTTTGGCCTCGGCGCCCTTCGCCGGGTCACGGCGCGCGAACTCTAAGACCCGGTGGCTCCCCAACTTCATCTCGCTGCTTATCAAGTCCGCATAACCCAGGAAGTCCCAGAGACCGCCTTGATCTGCTCACTCAGCTGGCAGCGCTCCTGGACGGCCCAGTCCGAGGCGCCCAGCTTGCAGATCTGGCGGATGAACTCGCGGTGGCCCGCCATGTTAAGGCGCTCGCCCTGGACGAAGTTCAGGCACCATCCAACTACTGACAGCATCGGCAGCCTCCAGTCAGATCAGAACCCCTCCTGGCGCGCCATCTCGATCGCCCTGCAACCTGGCATGTCCCAGCGGCCCTGAGAGCCCCGAAAGGTCGGGGGGATCCTGCCGTCGGCGACCACCGCCTGGCCCAGGGGGCCCTCCAGCGTGGCAGGCGGCACCAACTCCACAAGCAGGCCCTGCTCCGCCTCCGCCGCGAGCTGGGCCGAGCGCACCTCGCTCGGCTCAGCCCGGAACCGATAGACCTGGGCAAGGCCGATGCTTGGCCGCGGCGGATTGGAGGCCCCGAACCGCGCCGCTTGCACATCAGCATTGTTGGCGAGGGCCACGAGGTCGCCACCCCCTCCCGGCGAGCGTAGGACATGATCAACTCCCGACAACGCCTCCCGGCGCGACAGACCACCCCGACGACGAAGAAGACGAACGCCCATGGCGTCGTCGCGGCTGCCGCCATCGCCCAAGCCTGCGAAACCACGGCTGCGAGTCCGCGTCTCAGCACCGCGAAGCAGCACCCGAAGCACGCCGCCGCGACCGCAAAGCCGAGGGCGCCCCCGACGACGCCCGTGACCAGCGTGAGGATGTCGACCGCGGCGTGACCGAGCGCACCGCTAGCGGGAGCAGCAGCCGCCGCCTCTGGCGCGGGCGAACCAGCCGAGGGCTCCGTCGCCGCGCACGGGGCGCACGCCGGGCAGGCGGGCGCCGGGCAAGGGGCAGCGGCGGGGCAGCTGACCGCAGGCGCCTCGGCGCACGCAGGCATCGCCAGGCACTGCAGCGAGAAGGAAGGACACGCCGCGGGCGTGCCACACGCCAGAACACAGGTGGGGCACGCAGGACAAGATGGCGCATGCGGGCACCTGGTCGGGTAGGAAACCACCCGCGCGAGCGTGGTCAGTGAGGATTTCCCCCACACACTCAAGACTTGAGCGTCATCGAAACGGCGGCGGCCCCAAAGAATGCATCGGAAGCCCGTGCAATCACGACAATACTGGCCCCGCGCTCTTGCGAATACTTAAGACACCCTAGGTTGTTCGACATGCTCATAAAATGTGTCCAAATTGGCCTGTCGCGCGCGCGTCGAATTCGTTCGAACGTTCTTGCGCGCGTGCTGTCGCAAGAACCCCTTGAAAAAAAAGCGGGATGAAGTGCACGCGCGCGCGTCGTCGCTCGCGCAAGCCGAAATCAAAGCAAAAAACGTCGGTTTCGTAAGAATTTCACAATCGAGCGCCCCGAAAACATGAAAAAAAACACGATTCGGCAATATCATGTTTCACCAAAATCCTGCGTTCGCGCTCTTGCGGGTTCTTAAGGAAAACACTAAATTCTACCGAACGGACTTCTCGCGCCGCATGTCAAACGCATTCGAACGCCCTTGCGCGCGTGCTGGGAGGGGGCACGATCCGTGTAAAATTATACCACGCGGGCCATTCGCGCGCGTCGGCCGCGCGCGCATGTCGAACTCCCTTAAACAAACCTTCATCGCCGACGCGAAGACATCGTCATCGTTATTGGCAGGCGTGATCAACATCGGCGCCGCAATTGGCCTTGCCGTCGTCATCGCCACCTTCGTCACCATCGCTACTGTCATAGTCGTGTCTACCGTTGTCGGCGTCGCCATGGCACCGCGCCCGCCCAAATCAACGACTCGCACTGAAGTGCCCGCTGGGAGGTGCCCAGCGGTCAGCGCCTCCGCGGCCGCGTCGGTCGCGCCAAACTAGCTGGCCGATGTGCGCGCGAGCATGCGCGGGCTAGCACGGCCGCAAAGATGCACCAGCCAACGCCACGCACTCATCGCAATCGCCCCCGCATGGGTTTTGCAAATCAAATTGCGGGTGGGTGGGTGGGACGTTTGCAAGAGCATGGGATGTGTCAACGCGCTCGTTTTTTATTTTGAATTTTTTGAAGGGAAAAAACGCATAGATTGCAAAGCCTATCCTGCACCACATAGAGTGCACCGCAAAGGTTGCACCACGTCGATTGCACCACATAGATTGCACACCACCCATGTTGCACCACATAGCTTGCACCACACATGTTGCACAAGATATGTTGCACAAGATAGCTTGCACCGCCTACATAACACAACATAAACGCACCACATTGATTGCCCCACAAAAACTGCACAACTGATAGTATACAGCACAACATAGATTGCACAACATACCGTATACTGCACCATGTAGATTGCAAGATACAAATTTCTCCACCTAAGTTGTACAACCTATATTGCGACAAGCACACTGCTTTGGGCCAGCGCTGGCTAGCATATATATATATATATATATATATACATTGCGTGAATGCTCACACTGAGAAATATGTTCCGAATGTATCTGAACGTGATAGTCTACAGTCCCGTCAACGAGCTGTCGATATGTGCATTTAGCGTCGCCTGTGGCCCTCACGCACTGGGCAACCAGCACGTACTCGCTGGGACAACCGAATCCACTAGGCTTCCCCTTAGGGTGCATGACAGCTACACAGCAGCAGGACTTACTTCCCTTGTTAACACGACGAAATGGGTGGTTTGGGGCGGAAGATTGCACAGCATGTGAAGACAGCGGGAAGCTGGAGCAACCACATTACCACATTACGATACGACCCTCGTCGTCCCTTCTACCTGCGCAAACTACATGTGAACACCATGACACTATAATATATATATATATATATACAGATATCGTTCGTGCTTCCGCGGACACTAATATATATATATATATATATATATATATATATATATACGCACACAGTGTGCTTGATAAATATATAAACGTGCGTCGTTGGCCCAATTTCGGCCTCAACGGCCGTCGGCGGGCCCGGGGGCCGTCGAAGAACGACCCGGGAGCAAAGGCCACCCCCACGGGATGGGGTCGAGAGCCTTGGGGGGGGCCCACCATGGCGAAGCGGGGTCGAGAGCCTTCGAGGGTCGAAAGCCTTGGGGTCGAGAGCCTTGGGGGGCCTTGGGAGGTCTGGGAAAGAGCACGGCGTGGGACGTCTGGTTCCTCCTTCCCTCCCATAGCCCCATCCATGTTTCCCTCTCTCATCCCTCCCTTTCCCCTTTCCTTCCCCATCCGATCTCCCTCTCCCCCCTCACCCCCCTGCTACCATGCTGTCCTCTTCCCTTGAATCCGCTTCTGGAGCTCGAGCGCGCTGTGTTCGGGACGCACATATGCTGCTTGTAACCACGGGCGCTCCTAGGTTCCTAGAGCTGCAATTGTCAGAACCATGTTCAGTCCCGCGAATTCAACACGGAACACTTGTTCCGCGGCGCCTGAGTGTTACAGAGTTGCTCTAAAGGTGGACATCGGAGTATGCATGTGCACACCAATATTGACAATCATGTTTGCAAGCGTGGACCCCAAACAATAGGCTACTGCACCCTCGATGCGCGAGGGTGCCTTGCAAGCTATGGCATGCGTTCTGTGTGCAGTGCAACATGACCCTTGCTGGGTATTTGACCAAAAACTACGTGGTGCACGTTATGCGAGGCAAGCTATGTGATGCAAAACGTATACAGTGCAGGGCACGAGATACGAGCTCTGTGGTGCACGCTGTATGGTGCGATCTGTGGGATGCAAGCTGCTCGACGCATGATATGCGGTGCAGGCTCTGCGGGAGCCCACACGGCGCCCACGGGCGGCCGCCCTTCGGGGCACCCACGAGGCGCCCACGAGCGGCTACGGGCGAGCACAGGGCGGAACCCCGGCACGCCCACCCAGCACACGGGGCGCCCACGAGGCGCCCGCGGGCGGGCACCGGGCGAAACACCGGCACACCGACCCAGCGCACGGGCGCGCCAAGCGGAAACCAGGCAGACCCATCCAAATACTTCGGCACCGCAAGTGAGAGCGCCGAAGCGCCGAGCACTGTTCGGGGAATGTGCTGGCCTCGGCTGGCCAAAGCGGGCTTGGGCTGAACAGGGCTCGAAGTGCGCCAGCCCAACCAGCCAGGACCCACCTGAGAGCCGCTCGGAACCAGCGCCGTCTTGAGCCCTCCTGGGGCAGTTTTGGGGGGTTGCTCGGCCGTGCGGAATACCTTCGGGCGCCCTGTGAGGCTTTCTCGTTGCGCCTCTTACCCACCTCCTCGGCCATCCTTGACGCCACTGGAGGCCCCGAGGTTGTCGAGTCACGATCGGGCACGTTCTCAGTGCTTTTCATGCCTTGTCTGCCGACTCGCACTGTGTATTCGCCGCCGCCCCTGGTCGGATGCCCACCCGCTTGAGGACCGAGGCAATCGGCCACGTGGCCCTCCGCCGCATCCTCCCTCACCCGGACGCCTCAAGACGCCCTGCCCGCCGCCCCTCCCCGGCCCTCCCTCCGCCTCCTGGGGGAGAACGGGAACCTCCAGCGGCGGCCGCGCCGGGCGGCCCAGAAATCCGACGTTGCAACTTTCCATCTTAAAAAGATATATGCTAATTTTATAACCAAACACAAGACATTGCTCTTACCTGCGAGGGCCCTGGAGCCCGGAACCTGGCCAAAACGCCCGACTCGAAGAAGCTGCGACCCCCGGATCTCAGGGAAGGGGGCGGGGCGGGCCGGGCGGGGCCACCCCCTCGGCATGCACGCCCTGACGCCGCGCTTCCTGAGCTGCTTCCAGATGGCGGTCTTGAGCCAGCAGGAGGACGGCGGGTTGTCCTCCCGGCTAGGGGTCGGCTCTCCCCCCCCCTCCTCCCGCCTCGCGACTGCGGGATGGCCTTTCGGCATGGGCGGTCAGTCCCCGCCTGCTCCTCCTCCGATCGACGAGGGTCGGGGAGGACGGCCGACGGGGGCTTCTGGACGTGCTCAGCTCTCCTTTGGATTTCGAGAAGGCCAAGAGAGACCTCCTCCACTCCTTTTCCTTATACGTAACTCCTCCCTGTCGCACCCCGAGGCCAGTCAGAAGGGCGGGCTGGGCGTTTCGCCTGAGACTTCCTTTTCCACATATATTTTAGAATTTGTAACAGCTTCACAAATGGAGGGCGGGTGGTTTTCAAATGTGGCTCTCGCCTTAGCGCCGCGCACATTCACCTTACAAACTGCTAGAGCTTCACGGATTGAGGGCGGGTCGCTTTCAAAACTAGCGCCGCGCATATTCGTCTTATAAGTGAGCTTCACGGATTCAGGAAGGGTCGTTATAAAATTATCTCGCCTTAGCGCCGCGCAAGCTCGTCGCTCGTCTTAAAAAGTTACAAAAACTTCACGGATGGAATACAAGTGGTTGTTAAAATGTGGCTCTCGCCGTATCGTCGCGCACATTCGTCTTCAATAGTTGGCAAGCGCTTCACGGATTGAGGGCGGATCGTCTTCAAAATGTTGTTCTCGCCTTAGCGCCACGCACGCTCGTTTCAAAACAAAGCAACACCTTCACGGATTGAGGGCGGCTCCTTTTATGTGGCTCCCGCCATAGTAGCGCCGTGCACATTCGCTGGAACGAAAAATGACATGTTGGAACGATACAGGAGTGCCAGGGCGCAACAGTTACGTTGATTCGCACTGTTGAAATCCCAGGAATGGTGTTTTCGCACGATTCAGGATCGTCAAGACACAACAGTCAGGTTGATTCGTGGCGTTGAATTCCTGAAAATGGTGTTCTGGCGCGCCTCCGGATTTTCACACGGCTGTCTCCCAACGGGGCACCTCCCCCACTGGAAAATGATCCTTGTAGGGTCCTACGAAGGGGGAGCTTGGAGGAAGGGTTTATGCCAACATCCTTGATGAATCTTGGGTTTTCAAATATCCTCCTCCTCCTCCTCCTCATCCTCCTCCTCCTCTTCCTCCTCTTCTTGATCCTCCTCCTCCTCCTCCTCCACCTCCTCCTCCTCCCCCTCCTGTTCCTCACCCTCCTCCTCTTTCCAGCATCAGGACCATTACCATCCCCATCTTCCTGGTCATCTTCTTTCTCCTCCATATCGACCCCCTTTTCTCGCCGACCTCCCCCAAAAGTTACAAGTACATATGATGCGACAGTCCTGTGGCATGTGGTTACGAAAAACTGAAGTGTGCAACTGACGCACTGAAGGTTTGCAAAATCGACTCTCAAGGCCATCACTACGAGGACGTGCAGCGACGCCGACTTTCGGGGTCGATCAGCAACGCACGCCATCAAATCTGTGCGCCACGACAAACACATCAGCTGACCACTGCCAGCCCCAGCCCCAGCACGACCGAAGCGACGCGTCGACGTCAAAATTCTAGAGATGCGGGGCCCTATCCGGCACCGCGCCGCGAGGCACTGAGTGGAGCGCCGTAGCATGAAAAGAGGTAGGCGTCCAGGCGGCCTTTCCCCTTCAAACGGAATTGGACAGAGACGTCCTCATAGATCGGCTAGACGTAAGAATGACCCTGGGTAAGAGTGACCTTCGGTGCGCAGCTTTTGGGGGCGCGAGGGATCCAAACCCAAGGGCGCGGGCCGCTTATATCGCATCGTGCTCGGCGATCGGGGGGAGCCCGATGAGCCCGCACCCAGAGGTCACTCCGGCGAAGGGCCACTCGTGCGTGTAGTCGAATAGACTCCTCCTCCTCCTCCTCCTCCTCCTCCCTCCTCCTCCTCCTCCTCCTCCTCCTCCTCCTCCTCCTCCTCCTCCTCCTCCTCCTCCGCCTCCTCCTCCTCCTCCTCCTCCTCCTCCTCCTCCTCCTCCTCCCCCTCCCCCTCCCCTCCTCCTCCTCCTCCTCCTCCTCTCCCTCCTCCTCCTCCTCCTCCCCTCCTCCTCCTCCTCCTCCCCTCCTCCTCCTCCTCCTCCTCCTCCTCCTCCTCCTCCTCCCCCTCCCCCTCCCCCTCCTCCTCCTCCTCCTCCTCCTCCTCCTCCTCCTCCTCCTCCTCCTCCTCCTCCTCCCCTCCTCCTCCTCCTCCTCCTCCTCCTCCTCCTCCTCCTCCCCTCCTCCTCCTCTCCTCCTCCTCCTCCTCCTCCTCTCCTCCTCCTCCTCCTCCTCCTCCTCCTCCTCCTCCTCCTCCTCCTCCTCCTCCTCCTCCTCCTCCTCCTAAGAAAATCCAGGAGCAGGAACGCCGCGGCCGCTGGAGCCGCGCGATGTGCCGGCACGGGCCCTGGCGCCACCCGTCGGCCTGCATCCGGGGTTGTGCCTGGGGGGGGGGGGGCGCGAGTCGCCGTGTTTTTATGTGTGTTCTTTACTTTTATATTATATGTGTATATAAATGTGTTGTTCTTCTTCTTTTTATTATATATATATATATATATATATATATATATATAACAAAAAAGAAGAAGAAGAAACAAAAAAAAAAATAAGAAAAAAAGAAAAAACACAAAAAAAACGAAAAAAAAGAAAATAAGAAACAAAAAAAAAAAAAAAACGAGTCGCCGTGCTGCTCGGCCGTAGCCTCGCACGCCGCAGTGCCGAGGAGGCGGGCTGCGATCTGCACCTGGGGGCTCGGATCCGCGCGGAGCGTGGCCCACCCGGTCTTGGCGGGGACCCCGCGGGTGGCCCCGTCGACCCCTCAACACCGAGTCTTGTAGCACTTCTTCGGAGGGGGGGGGGGAGGCAGACCCTGGAGTTCTGGGCGCTTCTGGGGGCGCCCCGAGTGAATTATGCAGACGTCTGTCTCAACGGTTCAAAACAGCAACCTCTTCTGGCATGCTTGGCAGCGGCACGGTAGCGGGATGAGGCGAAGGCCACAAATCCCACAAGCCCCCATGGGCACAGATGGTTTAGAGCGTTTCCTCTTCCACCCCTCCCTCTTCCCCTTCGAGGAGCGATTTATCACCGTTCCTTATTCCCCATATCCTAAGGATGGGGTTCTTGTTCTTACATGACCGTGTGCAGAATGATAACACACCTCCCTCCCTCCGATCATCAGTCTCTGACTCACTCACATGTAGACTCACTCATATCCAGACTCGTTCATACTCAGATGCACTCGCTCTTAGATTCCTGATACTCAGGCTTCTCATGCTCGGGATCACTCATATGCAGACTCACTCACACGAAGACTCACTCATACTCTGCCTCGCTTTTCCTCACTCAGACTCAGCCACACCACTTCCGCGCTCAGACTCAAACGCACGTTTTGAAGATGCTTCAAACCCAGACTCACTCACACTCAGACTCACTCACACTAAGACGCACTCATACTTTGATTCGCTCGTCCTCACTCAGAGTCAGTCACACCACTTCCGCGCTCACTCACACACACACACACACACACACACACACACGTTGTGAGGATGTCTCGGGCGAGGCGCTGGTTTCAGCACTCCCACGGGGGGGCGCCAGGGGTCACAACACTCCAGGATTCGCGCCCAGATTGTGGAGGTGGTTCAGATTTGCCTGTTTCGGTGCCCAACATCTCTTGCTTTCGGAACAGTTTCTGAGGATGTCTCAGGCGAGGCGCTGGTTTCAGCACTCCCAAGGTGGGGCGCCAGGGGTGGGGACACTCCAGAATTCGCCCCCAAATTGCGGGGATGTCTCCGGCGGTTTGCCTGTTTCGCTGCACAACATCTCTTGCTTTCGAAGCCGTTTCTGAGAATGTCTCAGGCGAGGCGGTGGTTTCAGCACTCCCAAGGGGGGGCGCCAGGGGTCACGACACGCCAGGATTCGCGCCCAGATCGTGGGGATGTCTCAGGCGGTTTGCCTGTTTCGGTGCCCAACATCTCTTGCTTTCGGAGCCGTTTCTGAGGATGTCTCAGGCGAGGCGCTGGTTTCAGCACTCCCAAGGGGGTGGCGGCAGGGGTCAGGACACTCCAGGATTCGCGCACAGATTGTGGGGATGTCTCAGGCGGTTTGCCTGTTTGGGTGCCCACCTAAGGCCCCAGTGGCGGTGGCGGTGTCCGCATGCATGGGGCCAGAATTTGAGGATGTCTCGAGCGGTTTGCCTGTTTTGGTGGCCAGACTCGTGGGCACGGATCCTCCCCAGGATGCCACAGGAGGCTCCGAGGGGCCACAGGAAGATTCAAGAGGCCACAGGATGCCCCAAGATGCTCCAGGAGGCCCCAGAAGCTCAAGAAGGCCTCAGGAGGCTCCAGGAGGCCACAGGACGCAACGGGAGGCCCCAGGCCACAGGAGGCCCCAGAAGGCACCAGGAGGCCCCAAGATGCCCCAGGAGCTGGAGGCCTCAGAGGGCCACAGGAGTGGCTCCAATCCCATGTGTTGCACGTATGCTCCTATAGATTGTGCCTCCCGCGGAGCACTAGTCCTTGGTGTTTTACGTATGTTACTATATGTTGCCCTTCTCATGCGTATCCAATCCTAAGTGTTTGACATTTGTTCCTGTAGATTGGGCCTCCCCTGGGGCACGAATCCTTGGTGATTCCATGTGTTTCTATAGATTGCCCTTCTCCTGTGGCTCCAATCCGCAGTGTTTTATGCACGTCTGTTCCTATAGATTGGGCTTCTCCTGGGGCACGAATGCCCTCCAGGAGGCCCTAGGAGGCTCCAGGAGGCTCCAGGAGGCCCCAGGAGGCCACACGAGGCCATAGAAGGCTTCAGGAAGTCACAGGAAACCCCAAGAGGCCCCAGGAGGCCCCAAGAGGCTCCAGGAGGCACCAGGAAGCCCCAGGAGGTTGCAGGAGGCCGCCTCCCCGGAGTGTGAGGAGGCCCCAGGAGGCCGTAGGCTCATGTGCACAGTCACTCGTACTATTGAGACTCACTCCCAGCCTATCAATACTCAGACCCGTTTATATTAGAAGTCTCTTGCGAATTGG